ATTTATTGCGTGTATTGTATATTTTTAGGATTCCATTTTATCTCCACTATTGACTTATATCTCATTTTAAATTTTTCAGTGGTTACCCTAGGACTTACAATATAAAACTTTAAGAAATGAAAGTCTACTTTCAAACAATATTATGCCACATCATGTACAGTTTAAGAACCTTACAACAGTATACTTTCAATCTCTTCCTCCCATTTTTTGTACTATTGTCATACATTTTACTTTCACCTATACTATGAACTCACAATACCTTGCTTCTATTTTATATTTGGGTAATCAATTATCTTTAGAATACATAAGGACAAGACAAAAAATATATCTTTTGTATCCATCTTCATTCTGACCATTTCCAGGGATCTTCATTTCTTTGTGTAGATCCAGGTTTTTCCAGAGGACCATATTTTAACATATCATGTAGAACTGATATGCTGTTCAGGAAAGCTCTCACAGTGTTTTTTTTTTTTTTTTTTTTTGCCTAAAAACTCTTTATTCTCCTTCATTTAAAAAAATATATTTCATTTTGACTAGATACAGCTTTCTGCATTTACTCTATTTTTCTTTGGGCACTTTAAAGATACTTATCCATTGTCTTCTTGCATAGGTTCTGACAACAAATTGTTGGAGAGTCTTTTCTTTGGTCCTCTGGATGTAATGTGTCTATTTTTCTCTGGTTGCCTTCAAGATTTTCTATATTTCTTTGTGTTTCAGCAGTTTGAATATGGTGTGTGTGTGTGTGTGTGTGTGTGTTCCACAGCATTTCAATGGCTTGTTCTTTTTTCCCCATTCTTTTTCCTCTTTATTTTCAGTTTGGGTAATTTCTACTGATCAATCTTCAAGTTCACTGATTCTTTCCTCAGCTATGTTGACTCTAAAAGCATTCATCATTTCATAATTTTATTTCTAGCATTTCCATTCAACTCTTATCTTTTCCCTTTCTTTGCTGAAATTACTAATCTACTAATATATGTCATCCACCTTTCAATAGAGTTGTTAAGATATTAATCATAGTTACTTTCAATCCCTTTGTTATATTTATGACATATAGGTCATCACTGAGTCTTCTTCTGTTAATTACTTTCTCTTGAAAGTTGATTGCTCTTTTTGTTTTGTTTTATTGCAGTCTCATAAATCTTTTATTAAATTCCAATCACTATGTAGACAGTAGAACCTTTGGTAAATAGTATTTTTGCCTGATATTAGGCATGCCTCCTTTTCTGATAGCAATTAGTGTGATGAATTAAGTCAACCAAATCAGGAGTTTGACTAGGTACACATTTTGTTGTTGCTGTTGTTACTTTCATTTCATTACTGGCATCAAATTCCTCTGGTAGGGTGCTGGAGGGTTTTTCACAATATTCCTGTCCCATTTTCAGCTTTAGGGCGTCTCTTTGTGTTCCCACCTCAGAGATGGTCTCTATATTGTTAACCCTTTCCCAACAGTTGCTTCTTTGTTTCTGCCAACTAGGTTGGTGATGAGGGGGTGGGGGGTGGGGGTGGGGGCAATGGCATTCTCTGTTGTTCTAGTTTAGCCTAAATCTAAGACAGCACTTGTAACTCCCTAGGTCTTAGGGATGAAGTTTTATCATTGATCTTGCCTTTCCCCCAGTGAAGGGAGATATCTAATGATCTGGGTCCATAACAGTCTCCTGTCCCTTTCCTGGGGGTGGAGGGTTTTTCCTTTCCCCTTCCCCATAGCAGTAGATCTTTACCTGTGCCTTGGGGGTAACAGTGTTTGAAGCCCTTAATCTAGCAGCTCAAGACTTTTGTTCCTTAGGAGATATAGGACAAGGCAGAGTTTTAGCCTTTTCTCACAGTGACAGCTGCTCCTCTCCTCTAAGCCTGCACTACCAAGGACTGCATTCTTTCATCTCTCACCCTGCCTGCAGTCTTTCTCATAAGTAACTAGTGATGTGTGGAAAAAAATCCTGTAAGGAAGTGTGTATTTCTGTGTCTGTGGCTTCCAGGACTTCTGTGCTCTCTCTCATTAGCCCACACTTGTTCTTTATCAATTTGCTTTAAAAAAATTACCTGAATTTTTCATACCTGCTTGTATGGTGTCTGGTATGTCTTCCTTCAGTGCTCTGCCACAGATGTGCCAGTATTTGAATTCCATCTGTCTTTGAAGATACCTTAGATTTTTCCTTAGTTTTTCCCCCCTTAGATTTTATGTTAGTTGGTTGTCCTGTTACCTCAGCTCTCTAACGAGCTCAAGAAAAGTTATGATTTTTTACATTAGCTGGCTTTTTCTTGTTGTTAGGATAGGAGTAACAATATTTCCAGCTTTCTACATCCTAGGCAGATTTCAAATGTTTTAAATCATACAGCTCCTCAAAAAGGTATTTTTGAGTAACTTTCTCTCATATTTCTATATTTTTTGATAAATTATATACTTGTACTACTGTAAAAATATATAAATTATAAAACATACCCAAAAATAGAAGTAAGAAAGGGTGCTATAGATACCTGGTTTGAATATGGTGACATAAGCCGACCAGTCCTTATTTATTCTCTTTTGAAATTACTCAAAATCACAAAGAGAACTGCATTCCTCTGTGTTTCAAAGCCAAACTGTGAGAAGGGTGGCTCCTGCCAATAGTCACTACACTCCCTTTGCTGACAGTGGCAAAAAAAAAAAAAAGTTATAGCCTTTTTACCTCGAACCTTTAGGAAGTGAATTTTTACTAGTTTTTTCTGATATATGCCGTCTCAGAGAAAACAGGGCTAAATACATGATCACATAGATAAGTCACATTTGTAGAAAATAGTTTTTTTTCTGTGACAGCAAAGAAGAAGGGAGCTTTTGAATTGTGAAAACAAGTCAGTCTTAAAATACTATCCTTGATCTTCCCCAGAAACTCTCTAATTATTCCATGGAAAACCAATCTGCTTAAGTGATGAGTAATAAAAAGAGAACCAGCACAGAACATATGCAAAGATACTATGAGAAAAAGACAGACAAAGAAGAGCAAACACTAATAACAGATGAAGAACTCTCACTAGAATAGCTGCCAAAGGATAGGTGAAAATTGTGACTAAACATTTGCTGTGATTCTTAAAAACTTAGTAAAGCAGGGTCTTAAAGTGGAAATGCAAGAATCAGAGAAGAGATGATAAAATGTTAAATGATAGATCTCTGGAAACTAGTAGAATTGAAAAATAAGATTTTAGAGAGAAAAATTATAGAAAAAGATCACAGGTTAAGATAATCCAACATACACAGAATTGGAATCCCTGAAGAAAAACACTGAAATTATGTTGTGTGGAAAGCAGGAGAGGGTTGTATGCGATAAATATAAAGATGCAAATTTATGCGATAATATAAATCAAGAAAACATCCTAAATTATCAGAAGATTTTTAAGGCATACCTTAAACTATTAAAAGATTAAAGGTCACATTATATAATAGAGAAATAGAGTAGAATAATCACCACTGAGGCATGCCCTAGTAAAATTATTTGACTTCAAAGCTGAAGAATTATTCTTTGGGCAGACTGCACACACAAGTGAGGGAAAAAAATCAAGCTGTCCTCCATCTTCTCCATAGCAGTGCTCTACAGCAAAAGACAGTGGAGCACTATTTATAAGATAAATGGAGAGAAAATATAAATCACAGATTCTATACAGCCAAAAGCTCATTCAAGTAAAAAGGAAACAGATCAAAAGTTGAGAACATCCTATATTCTGAGGGATTTTTATTTCCATAAGACATTCTTGAGAAAACTGGTACTAGAGAACACATTTTGACCAACATGTAAATGACTAGAAACACAAAGGCGCAAATGGGCATAAAATATATTTAACCATAGAACTGAAACTAAAACAATTGTAGAGATTAGGATGACAGAAAAGAAAGCACATATTATGTGCCCTAACAATGTAGAAATTATATAACTAATGAAAATTGAAAAAATGGGGAGGAAAAAAATCTAAGGAAGAATAGGTATGCTGATATCTTCAGTAACAATAGCTGATTAAAGGATAAAATGTTAAACGGATCAATAGAAATGTAAGAATCTTTAATAATGCAAATGTAAACACCAAGAAACATGAAATAAGTAAAATTAGATAGTTGAAGAAGAAATAGAGGATAAGAAAAAAGTGAAGAAGTACCTAATTTCATTATTTGTCATTGTAAAAAATAAGATTCTGGATTAAAAAAAATAAGAGACTGAGGGTACTATAAAAAGTTATATTTATAAACGTAACCAATAGAAGCAAGTAATACAATACTTCTTCCTAGAAGAAACACGTATACACACATGCACAAAGAAAAAAGACACGTGTTAGTGAACAATGCTTTAAAATCTTTAAACATGAAAAATGCAATAAAAATCATGACGGAACCGTTAGCACATATATTTGTAATACCAATAAATATAAATGGCCTAAAACTCAACTTTTATTTTAAAAATCAAGGTTTTCAGATTTGATTACATAGCAAAATCCAATTCCATGCCCCATACCAGAGTTACAGCTAAAACTAAGTGTTCAGAAAGGTTGGAAATAAAACTAAGTGTGAAGATATACAAAGTAATTGTAAATATAAGACAAGGTTGGATTCAAGCCAAGAAGGCATTGAATGAGATAAAGGAGTATACTTTATAATGTTAAAATGTGCAATTCACAAAAAGCAAATTAAAAGAGTAGTGCTTTTGGTGATTAACTGAACTTTATTTAGAGTATCCCATTTTGCCATGGATAGTTTATGTCTGTTGCCCTGGTTTAACTTTTTATAGAAACTTCTTTACTCTTAAAATATCTGTGTTTAGATAGTAAATTATATGGTCATCCTATGTTTATTCCAGGAATGCAAGGATGGTTCCATATAAGGAAATGTATTCACATAAACGCAAGGAGTTTCAGAATTGTGCCATCAGCCTTGAGACATGCAGTATTATATCCTTTTATAAGCTCTTATAAGCCTCTGCTTTTTCAGCATTCACTTTCTTTGGCTCATTGGATCACAGCTGTGACATATGTTCCTTTTACAGGGTCCCTTGAAAGGCTTTCTGGAAGATTTAGGCAGACTGCAAAAGAAGTTTTATGCCAAAGATGAACGGTTACTTTGCCCTATCAGGACCTACCTGGTTACAGCCAGGAGTGCAGCCAGTTCAGGCGCCCGCGTGCTGAAAACTCTTCGCAGATGGGGTCTAGAAATAGATGAAGCTCTTTTCCTTGCTGGAGCCCCCAAAGGTCCCATCCTGGTGAAGATACGGCCCCACATCTTCTTTGATGACCAAATGTTCCACATCCAAGGGGCACAAAAATTCGGCACCATCACAGCTCATGTACCATATGGCATTAATCAAAAAATGAACAATTAGGGATGGGGAGGAGAAATAAAGTAGTGAGTCTGGTATTACAGAAGCCACTTCTTGTGGATCTCTAGGGTAATTAGATAGCTATTTCAGAAGATTGGACCTCAGAACTTAGTTCATTTGGAAAGGTTTTCTTGATTTTTGTTAAACATTTTGAACCTTCAAGTTACCTTCAAGCTACTTCTCTTTGAGCTGTCAATGCTGTTGAATACCATTGCACCTACTTTTGTGTGTAAGTCATAATGATGGCTCTTCATAAGTTTAAAACTTGAATGCTTGAATGCTTAAAGGGCTATATCAGAAGCCTACTTAGTTTTACAAAGTATTGCTGATTTTTGGATGTTGGTAGACAGAATGAATTTTTACCCATCATCATCATAGAATAGCAGTCTTCAAAGGTGGAAAGAGTAAAGCACACTCTTGAAAATTAGAGGTTTTTAGCCTGTTGTTTCTGTGACCAGCTTTTTAATCAGAGCAAAATGAAAATGTCACTCCCCCTGCATAAGTATACCAATTTGACAATGCTCATTCACAAATAAATCAGCTGGTTACTCATACAGGGCACTTTCCATCTAAGATGAGCTCCAGACAGAACCTCCTGAGAAGGATTCTTTGAAGCTTGTTTGGTGGGTTCATGCCTGTAGACCACATGTCTTCATATTTCAGTCTCTGGCTTTGTGCCCAGCAGGTAGGCCCAATGTTTGTACGGAAAAACAGCCTTGGCCACCACTTCAAAATGTGACATGAAGTGTAGTACCCTGGCCTTTTATTGTTGTCATTCTGTTGTGATTTTTGTTTTCAAAAAACATTGATTATTAGCCATAATCTACTACACATTAGGCACAGTGAGCTGGTTATTTTCACATTACCTCATTTTCTCATCAGACCAAACATGTGTGACATTATATTATTATTGTCCTCCTTTTTAGTCAATGAAGAACCTAAGATTCAAAAAGATTCAATAGCTTATACAAGGATGTGCAGCTAATAAATGGTATGACTAAGATTCAAATTCAGGTCTTACTTACTGCAAAAGCTATATGCTGTCTGTTTTCTCTGTGTTATATAACCTTCCAAATCGAGTTGTTGTGATTAAGTCCATGGCCACAGGACCCATCCTGAACAGATTAGTCATTCCCTTATGTTCTGTGCTTAAGCTACACAACCGTTACACAGCATGTCCAGGGACTCCTCTCCTCCTCACCCTCGCTTGGTCCTTCTGCCTCCCCGTCTCCATCTCTACACCACCCACATAAACATATTCCACCCCTGGCTCTAGTTATAGAAGACCACTGCTGACATACATCTTTTTATCTGCTTCCTAATTTGATGTAAGCCAGTCCAAAATATATCAGTCATAACACTTATTGAATACCTACTGTTTTCTGTGCATTCCCCAATGTGAAAACCACAAGGGAGACTCAGACATATGCCCATCCTTTAGCAAATTTAAAACCGTAACAGTTAGTAGAAGTCAAATGTGTAAACTCAAATAGCCAACACTAAGGGGCTGTTTGTCCTCAGTGCCAAGTGAGGGTCACACATGAGGTTGAAGCAGAGATCTGTATGGGCTGGGATAGGTCAAGAAATGGAGAGAACTGAGACAGACTTTGAAGGACAGGAAAGGCATGGATGGATAGAACGGAAGAGAGAGAGAAAACAGATGTGCTATGGGCTCAATGAGTTTGAGAGGCAGCTTCAAATTACAGATAGGGTGGAATAAAGGCCCACCCTTCATGAGTTCTGTTCCTGGTGCCACTAATCCTCAGTGACAGTGCTCTTTCCCACCTGTAAGCTCCATTCTCAGCGCTCATAAGAAACCTTCTGGCATTCTACTGCTGTTTTCTTTGTATTGTGACTACTCACTGCATGTTATATCCTTCTCAAAGGTAAGGGAGTGGAGGAGAGTTTATCAAAATCATTTAGGGACTTTATTTCAAACTATACAAGTTTTGTGTCTCTTCTCTTGTCCTGAAGACTCTAGAATGGGGGCTGGGGCAGGGGAGTTCTCTGTACCAGACAGCAAGCACCCTCAAGGCAGAAATGGTGTGCTCTTTCTCTGTGACTCTCGTAGGGCACAGGGCCTGGCATGTATTGGATGGGTGAGTAGATGAATGAATAACGAATTAAGAGTGGCTTAGTCTAAAGCTATGAAGTTTGCAACTTGAAGATGGGTACCTGTGGAATAACCCCTGACATTTCTGAAGCATTCTACAGTATACAAAGCACTTCCCCTTCCATTGTTACATTTAATAGTCTCCTGGAAGGAGTGGGGAGGCACTTGTGAATCAGCCTGCTCAGAGGTCTATGTTTACAGTAAGTCCAAGCTTTCCCACTGTATGTCTGCCAGTGTCAGACCATGTAAGGATGACGTTTTCTATAGGGACCAATGCCATAATAGTCTTCAGTTCTCAAACTGTGGCTCCCAGATCAGCAGCATCAGAATCACATGGGAACTTGTTAGAAATGCAAACTCTCAGGTCCCATCTGGGATATATTGGATTCAAAACTCTGCTACTGGGACACTGAAACTTCTGTTATTTGTTTTGTTTTTATAAGCCCTGCAAGTGATTCTGATGCAACGCTAACGTTCCAGAACCCCTGGCCCATTCTATTTGCAACCGATTCATGTTGCTAAAGTTCTTAGCCTCATCTATGGAAAAAAAAGAGCCCTTCCTCAGACTTCAGGTGGGCAGGAACCGTTTTCCAGAAGGTGAAAATAAATTGAACTAAGGGTTAACAAGTCCCAGGAGCCCTTAAGGGAAAATACAATAAACCAGCCCTGAAGTGTGGGATTTGTAAACCAGCCTATAAAGAGATTTGTAAATTCTCTCGTATTCCCATGGGGAAGGCCACTACCAGTCTGGAATTTCCATGGGCAGAAACCTCAGCAGCCTGCTGGCTCTACCCAGGCACCACGACCCTGAGCGCTGTATTCTCCTAACCAATCAGGTGCCCTCAGAAGGGAACTACAAGTCCCGGCATGCCCCACGCCGTCCCGTCAGGGAACGACAGGCTGCGCCCCAGAGTTCTTCGCGTGCAGGTGGCAGCTTCAGCCCGCTGCGGGCGGGGACTCCGGAAGTCCCGCGCAGCGACCGGTGGGCCCTCGGCCCGGGCGGCTATGGCTGTGGCTACAGTGGCGGCACTACTGGCCGCACTGGGTGGGGCCCTGTGGCTGGCGGCCCGGCGGTTCGTGGGGCCCAGCGCCCAGCGGCTGCAGGCAGGCGGGGACTCCGGCCTCATGCACGGGAAGACAGTGCTGATCACGGGGGCGAACAGCGGCCTGGGCCGCGCCACGGCCGCCGAGCTGCTGCGCTTGGGGGCGCGGGTGATCATGGGCTGCCGGGACCGCGCGCGCGCCGAGGAGGCGGCGGGCCAGCTCCGCCGCGAGCTCCGCCAGGCCGGGGGCCCCGACGCCGGCGGGGCGGGCGAGCTCGTCGTCAAGGAGTTGGACCTCGCCTCGCTGCGCTCGGTGCGCGCCTTCTGTCAGGAGATGCTCCAGGTGTGGGCCTCGGGGAGCCAGCAGGAGAGCAGGGGACGGCGCGGGCCTCGGCGGGCGGGGCGGGGCGGGAGCCGGGAGGGGGTCGCCCGGAGTCCAGGAGGTGTGACCTTGGGAAAGACAGAGACTAAGAGTGGAAACAAGCAAATGGTTTTGAGGTGGCTTGGGAGTTGCAGGCCGGCAAACTTGGGAGGGCAGTCTTGTTTTCCAAGAATGTTGAGAAAAACACGAGCCCGAGAGGAGAATAAACTAGTTTCTGAACATTTCCTTTTGTTATGTGAGGATGGCCCAGGAGGAGATCCGCCAGGTCTTGGATTGTTTTTTTCTGTGTCCAAAGAAAAAAAAAAAAAATCTGCACCAAGCCATCTACTCTCAGAAAGCCTAAGAGCACTTCATTTTTTTTTCATCCTGCTAGGGTGGGAAGTTTAGCTCTCTGCCACCAGTGGACTCATTAGCACCATCCTTAACCAGACTAGACTGCAGCTTGGAATCCCAGTTGTCATGTGCTCTAAACCAGGACAGAAATAAAAATAATATAATACCTAGCATTTATTGAAGGTTTCCTATGTGCCAAGAGCTGTTCCAAGCATTTCAGATACTTAAAAAAAAAAAATTTAAATGAAATTAAAGTGCCTTTGGCTATTATTGTCATGGAATCCTCACAGTAACTCTGTGGGCATTATTATCCCCCTTTTACAAGCATAGGTAGGCTAAGTAATTTGCCTAAAATCTGTTTCCAGAGCCAGCCGTTTTAAGTGCTACGCTGTACGCCTGCTGCCTGCCAGTGAGGTGGAGGATGTCTTTGTTTAGGTGGTAAATATGCCACTGAAGTGGATGCCCTCTGTTGAAATTGAGGTAGAAGGGTTTCCTGCAGAGGTGACTTGCAGGAGGGCATTCAGAAGAGTGAGATTTAAAATTAGCTGGCATAGGAAATGTGCCTATATGAAATGGAATCTCTTGAGTCTAGAGGAGAGGTTCCCAAACTTTCTAATTTTTTCATGATGCCCTTAGGCCAGAAGAAATATCTGCCGGTTTATTGATTAAGTGATTAGTTCCAAACAACTTAATAAGTATTTATGTCCTAACAACTTAGTAGCTGTTTGAAAAAATAATACACTTAACTGAGAGGAAAAAAGATATTTTCATTTAATTCTTCAATAACCATAATTACTAACGCGAAATGTGCATCTGTTGTTCACTGCCCCAGCTTCTCAGATTTGGGAATCAGGTTGGACGTTGCCATCTTCATTTCTTGTTCTGCATTGATTTTTAACATTGTACTTGCATTTTATTACACCAACTGCTAAACACTCAGCATTGCAAAGATATGAAATCATCAAAAAGAATATAGCACAATATAACGGTGAAGCTGTGAACCACCTGGAGGTAGTAGTTTTTGAGATGTTGAACAGAGTATGGCTTTGTTTCCCCTGAAAGTTGAGAACACTCCATAGCACCCTCTAGGTTCCTTATGACATTCTAGGGCACCTTGATGCACAGTTTGGGAGCTATTGCAGATGTAGAGAGACTTTTTGTTTTTGTTTTTTATGGCTAGTGTTTCATTATCAGGTAAAACAGGTTGAGAAATAAGAAATAATATTAATGCATAAGAGATGTTGGAAGCATTAAAAGTAGGTCTTCCCATTCCTCATTAACATGTAGATCGGGCTGGGTATACTCATCCGTGATGCCTATGGTGTTTTACTACTTTGGCCATTGGAGACACAACTGATTAAAAGTTAGGGACATAAAGAGATAATTAAGTTGTTCTTGCTTCTAAGTATTAAGTTCCTTCCTGGATCTAAAGTTCAGTGACTATAATCAGAATAAAAAAAAAAAAGGAAGTGTAAATTTCCCACAGGTTGGTATTCTTGGTATTTATGTCATTTATCTCCTAGAATTTAAAAAATAGCAAATGATAAAGTCTTAAAATAACACAAGCCCAGCAAAGAATGATGGCTCAGAAATGATTAATACATGAAACTCTTCCAAAGGATTAGTGAAAAAGAACACTCCTTTCTTTCCCCCACGGGTGAACTTTTGCCTTCTTTTTGAAGTTGACTATTGGAAAAGCTAAAGGTGCTTAGACAGACAGAATGAGAAATAGTTAATCCCCTGACAGGCAGGCTTTGATAACAGTTGTGAAATTTAACACATTTTTCTTTCCACTTATACTTGGCAAAAGGGCTAGTGAAATTTGAAATTTGACCTCAAATTAATTTAATCGTGAGTCATCACTGTGTCTTCACACCTGGAACATGTTGTACATTTCTTTTTCTCTGCCTATCAAAAGAGACAGAGAGGAGCCAGGAAAAGGGTAGGGAAAACCAACTTATCTGAATTAAGGAATGAAAAGACTTCTCTCTGAGGACAGTCTAAATTTTAGGACTTTAATCTGGAAAGATACAGGAGGACATGGTCAAAGTGCAAAATTCAGACTATATAGATCTCTTCATCCTGGGTCCCCTTGAAGCTTGCAAGAGGTAGATTTCGTATAAGGAAAAAGA